CTCGTTTTGTTTTTGTTTTGTTTTTCTGTTTTCGTTAGATATTCATTATCGATACATTGTCGAGCTTCAACCGATTGGTCGTCTATTGTTTCGTAAATTCTGTGAAACAACTAAACCTTCATATCATAATTGTAATCTATTTCTCGATGCTCTGGTGATTAATATTTTAATTTAATTAAAAAAAAAAAAAATTTATTTTTGACTATTTATTTATCTAATTCTTGTATGATGTGTATTTGTTTGATTGTTTTTATAGGAAAATTACGAATTATCAGAAGAAAAGGAAAAAACTGCCAAAAAAATTATACATACATTTTTGATTTCGGATGAAAGTTCGAACTTTGTTGAAATTATTTCCACAGAAATTATTGAACGTTGTCTACGGAATTCATCGAATGCAACCAAAGGATTATTTGCCGATTGTTCATTGTAAGTTATGATGAATTTGGTTTTATTATTTTTATTATTGTCGTTAATGTTGATGTTGTTGTTGTTGTTGTTGATGTTTTTCGAAACTTTTTTTTTTGCTTTTCATTCTCAATGTTGTTTCATTCATTCTATTAATTTTTTATTATTTACATTTCAGCTATGTTAAACATTATCTTTCTGAAAAACCATTCAAAGAATTTGAGAATAGTAAATATTTTCAACGATATTTACAATGGAAAGCATTAGAATTACGTCCGGTTACAAGCAAAACATTTCGTATGTATCGGGTACTTGGAAAAGGAGGATTTGGTGAAGTCTGTGCTTGTCAGGTTCGTGCTACAGGCAAGATGTATGCATGTAAAAAATTGGAAAAAAAACGTATTAAAAAACGTAAAGGCGAACAGATGGTTTTGACTGAAAAACAAATCCTACAAAAAGTGAATTCACGTTTTATCGTTAGTCTTGCATATGCATATGAAACGAAAGAATTTCTTTGCTTAATATTGACCATTATGAATGGTGGTGATCTTAAATTTCATATCTATAATATGGGTGGGGAACCTGGCTTCAGTATACAACGATCTCGTTTTTATGCGGCTGAAATTACATTGGGATTTGAACATCTACATTCGCTTGGTATTGTTTATCGTGATTTAAAACCGGAAAATATCCTACTTGATGATCATGGCCATGTGCGTATTTCGGATCTTGGTTTAGCTGTTGAAATACCTGAAAATGAGATGGTACGTGGCCGAGTCGGTACCGTTGGTTATATGTCACCAGAAATTGTTGATAATGAAAAATATTCATATAGTCCTGATTGGTTTAGTCTTGGCTGTTTAATATATGAAATGATTGAAGGTAAAGCACCGTTTCGTGCACGTAAAGAAAAAGTTAAACGTGAAGAAGTGGAAAGACGTATTAAATATGAAGATGAAATCTATTCAAAAAAATTTACTGAAGACTCTATGTTAATCTGTAGACAGGTATGAATTCATTTTTTTAAATTATTTCATTTTCAATTTTTCATTTCATCCTGTGTTTACCTTATGAAAAAAAATCGATAGTTATTGCAGAAAAAAGTCAGAGATCGACTTGGATGTTCAAATGATCGATATGGATCTCGTGAAGTAAAAAATCATATTTTTTTCATGGATATCAATTGGAAAAGACTTGAAGCTGGACTACTTGAACCTCCGTTTGTGCCCGATGTAAGTTTAAAAATCGATCAGATTGATTCTGTTTATGTTTTCATTTTTGTTTTTTTCCCATTCCTTTTCAGCCACATGCTGTTTATGCCAAAGATGTTCTTGATATTGAACAATTTTCAACAGTTAAAGGTGTTAATATTGATTCATCGGATGATCAATTCTATAGTAAATTCAATACTGGTTGTGTATCGATACCTTGGCAAAATGAAATAATCGAAACCGATTGTTTCGAAGAGCTAAGTGCATTCGGTGGTCCATATGGTGATGAATTAACTCCCGATCTAATCATAACGAATGGACCACCCGAAATTGAAGATAATTATAATTTTTGTTTTCCATTTCTACGTAAACATCGACATAAAAACCATACAAAAATGATGAATGAAATGAATGCCAATAATAAATTGTTAAAAATTCCAAATAATGAATCTGACCTGATGACAACGACCGAATCTAGCCAAACAACAACAACAACTTAGTCGGACCAAAAAAAAAAAACCTGAATGATTTCCTCAATCCAATTCTGAATGATGAAACTGTGTAAAGTACGAAATGTAATAATAATCTAATTATTTTATTTCTACCCGTTCTTTCTCTACTTAAAACCAAATGAATAATGTAACAATTTTTTTTTGTTTTGTTTACAATAACTCATTTATCCTCGAACAATCCTCATTCAAATCATTATCATTCCATTTTTTCTTCATCTTTCTCGCATCATTGATGAATGTGTTTTTTGTGTGATTTTTTTTCAATTTTACACATTTTTTCAACCTTTTTTTCTTATTTTTTTTTCTTTAATAATTCTGATATTTTAAAGAAGAAAAAAATCCATTATTATTATTGTTTTTATTTTCTCCTTTTTCTTCATCATTTTTTTCTGTTTTTTCATTGTCAATACGCGAAAGAATCGTTATCTATCTAATAATCTATTTATTGATCATTATATCATGTCATTTTTCAAAAATCTATTCTGTAAATATGAATAAAAGATAAGAAATGTCCATAAATGACAGTACATAGTGAAAAAAGAATAATTTGATCAATCATTTTTTTTCTATCGATGATGATGTATTTTTTTTCATATGATTATTCATCACTTTCCGGTTGTAATCTGGTACTCAATAAATTCAATGATGTTGTTTGTGTTTCTATTCATGTTTCATTCTATTCACAGTTTTTTCATTTCGTTTTAGTGTTCGAACTGTATTGAATCAATCAATGTCATTGCAACGAAAATTTTGCATAATAATAATATTATATAATGCCCGATTCGAATGTAAACACAAACATTCAAAGACGACCAAAGATGATAGAGACTGAGAATTTAAAAAAATACTTTAAACATAAAATATCTAAAAATAAAGAGACACAGAGAAAACAAAGTTTTTGTTCTCATCCAAAACTATAGTTTTCAATCGTCGTCGTTTTTTTTTATTTTTTCTTAGATCGAATTTTATTTCTGTCACGTCTTACATTTTTTTCCCATACAAAATGAACATACCAGAAAACAAGACTAGGAATTTTTTTTTAGAAAACGAAACGAAAAAAAATTCATCAAAATGTCCATTTGAAACAACAAACAAATGAATGAATTGAACAACAAAAAAAAAAACAAAACAAAATCATTCTAAGAAGAAAAGAAATTCTTGTTTTTGTTTTCGTCGTAATGAAATGAAATTATTTAATAGAATCAATGAATATAGCCGATATTTTTTTGTCAGTTCTATATGAGAATCATCACAACGAACATCAAATTGTATTTCAAAATAGAGAAAAAAAATTCCAACAATTTTATTTTTGCTGACCCTATAATAAAAATTTTATATTTTTTCATCATCATCATCAGCAGCAGCAGCAGCTCTGGAAACAACAAATTTTATCATTATCACTGTTATCATTAAATAAAAAAAAAAAGATTAATCTGTGTTCTCGAATACAATAATAATAATAGAATAGAATGTCAATTCGAATGTTGTCATCGGAGAAAAGAAAGAACAAAAACATTCGAAACATTCTTGAAAAAAAGAACGAAAAATCAAAACAAATTCTTCGAAAACAGCTAATAAGAATAATTAGATTTTAGCTTTTTTCATCAAACTTTTTTTTTTGCTGTTTGGTTAATAAGAAATGAACGAATCAATTTCTCAATCATCATCATCATCATCATCATCCTTTATTTAAGTTTTTCTAAAGTAAGTAGTAGTTTAATTTTCTGAAACAAATTCAATTTAAAACACTAATTCTTTATCTATTTCATTTTTTGAACATTGTATATGAATGTATGAAAATAATAATTTTTTTTTGATTAATAACTTGGTAAAATATGATTAACTGGATTTATAAAGATTTGGCCATCACTTGTTTAATATTGATGGAATTTTCTCTTTCTATGTTGGCTAAAATAAGAAAAAAAATAGATCATTAATCCAAAAAGCAATTTCATGTTTCAAATCGAGCATATAATGGACATATTGACATTTCAAATTTCTTGTATTATTGACACACAGTATATTAGACCGGGATTACGAATCCAATCGAATCGTTGATCATGAATCGTTAACAAATTTTCGTAAACAAGTTTTTTTTCCAATTCTGGCGAATTTTGTATTTGTTTTTTTTTCTTTTTTGGTTCAGCTATTCCAATACATACATTTGTCATTTTCAATAATATAAAACAAAATGACCCCGAAGCTTTGATTATTTTTTTGGGCTTGCAGTTATCATTGTTGAATTTGAATAAATCAAAACAGAAAAAAGTAATAATGTTTAGGGATTATGATGTTGATGTATTCTTTAGGAATCGATAAATATTTTATGGGCATTTTGAATATTGAAATGGTTTTTTTTGTTTTCGTTTCAGACAACCTTTATATATGACGTTTATTACTATTGGTTGTTGTCATTGTTTGTTGAATTTGATGATGAACATTGACATGACAATAACGGTTAGTTACAGTATTTTTTTTTGTTCTTGAATCTCAATTCATTTAAATCTCATTTTTACATCAGTTTGTCAATATTCTGATAATATTATTTTGGATTGTTGGACAAATATTTACAAAATGCCATTATTCATTTTTTTTTGTTTTCGTATGTGAATCACTGGAAAAAGCCGGTGGCCGAATACACTCCAACATTAGTGATTTCTTTGATAAGTGATTAAAAAATGTCTATTATTTTATTAATTCAAATTTTTTAATCAATTGATATTTCATTTGTATCAATAAAAGTTTCATCAATATATCGGCTTAATATTAAGGGAGAAAGGAAATAAAATTGGGGGTAAAAAATATGCTGCAACAATCGTAAACAACAATATCGATAGTCATATTCGATAGATCGATTTTAATTTTGAAGAGTATATATACTCATCACCACACGATCATGATGAAATTTATTCATTGTTTCTATGGCTAACTTTTGAATACGCGCTGACTGTAAACGTCACCAACAACAATTATTCAACGAATATAGTATGTAGCCACAATTTAATAACCACCATGGTTATCAATCATTTGTTTGCAGTTCGGCGGCTTTTAATTGGTCATTCATTACGATTCGTTAGAACAATAGATAACAAACAGTGGTTGCCAGCAATTAACGTTGTTCAATTTCATATAAGATCTCAACCAAATCATCGTAATGATCGACGTCAAAGTCAATCAACTAGAAAACGAATCAACGAAAGACAATCATTCGGGAATGGATCAAATTCTGGTGTTTATGCTGTGGCCATAGTACTCTCATCAATCCTTGCTATTTATGTTTACGAACGATGGAACAAAATAAAACGTCATTCTTTGACTAATAGCGGCCGACCTATACTCTGTAAATCAATACCTGATCATAATGACAAAGTTGGTGAATTGACCGTTGACGACAACCAACGGCAATCAGGTCAAAAGTTTAAAGCAAATTCTGCCACATTCTCGTCGATGAATGTTATAGCCGATATTGTAGAACAAGCATCACCTTCAGTAGCTTACATCGAAGCCTTTCAAAGATGTGCCAGTTCATTTGCACCAATGGCCATGATGTCTGTATCGTCTGGTTCAGGATTCCTTGTGGCTGATGATGGTCACGATTCAGGCATCATTTTAACAAACGCTCATGTCATAGCCAATTGTCAACAAGTGGTCATTCGATTTGATGATGATCGACGGATACAAGGCCAAGTCGAATTCATCGATGAACGACTCGATTTAGCCACTGTTCGAGTGCCGTTATCCGAAGTAAGCCATCTTAAACCCATCAGATTGTTGGATGATTCGAAAAACGTTCGACCGGGCGAATGGGTGATTGCAGTTGGAGCACCGTTTACATTATCCAACACAGTAACCGTAGGGGTTGTCTCTTCCATATCACGAGCTGGACGCGATTTAGGCATTCGAGAAAGTGTCGAATATATCCAAACGGATGCATCGATTAACATCGGTAATAGTGGTGGTCCATTACTAAATTTAGATGGTGAAGCCATTGGTATCACCACTCTAAAAGTTGGCGAAGGCGTATCATTTGCAATACCGGCCAATTATGCTCGAAATTTTCTTAGCCAATGTACATCATTACGACATGGTAACCATTCTATACATTCGAATAGACTTGATCCGCTGGCAACAAATAGACCGAAACTGTATATTGGTTTTACGATCATAACATTAACCGAACAATTGATGGAATCATATCGACGACATGGTCATAATCGTTCTGATTCTCTACCCGACGATTTACGATCTGGTGTCATGGTTTACAGAGTTGTTCAAGGTTCACCTGCTCACCTGTAAGTGTCTTAATTAATGAATGGAAATTTTTTTAAAAATTTTCTCTCCTATTTAGGGGTGGATTAAAAAACGGTGATATTATTGTGTCCATCAATGGACAACCAGTGCATTCTGCCGAAGAAGTATATAAAATATTGCAACAAGATGGTCATCATAATACGATAATCGAAATGGAATTTCAAGTGAAAAGAGATCATGGGCAAGATTTAACGCTTAAAGTTAGGCCACAATTGATCATGGATCATTGATCATTTGAAATTGTAATTTGTATTTATTATTATTTTCTTAATTATTTTGTTATTTTTGTTTTAAATATATTACAAATGTTCATCATTTACATAAATCATCAATTCTTTATACATGATTATGATAATGATAGATCCAAAAAATAATGAATCATTATAATGATCAATAGTGTAGCATAGTAGTTATCGATCATTAGCATCGATGATCCGGATGTTATAGCCGATGTAGATACAAAATTGTTTGAACTATAAAAATCATCAACCACGATAATACGGTTACCCATATTACGATGTGTGTATGATTGATAGTAAACAATATCCGGTACGCTTGCATTCGGTGTCCATTGTAAAATCTGTGCACTAGTAGTTGAATCACAATAGAATTGTAAACGATTTCGATATTGAATAAAATTCAAATAACGATTCGTATCAGCTCGACGTTTATCAAAATAGCTATCGCTATTATCATACGTTTCGTTAGATGTTGTTGATGATGGTATACGCCATACACACAAACGACCAGCCGATGTAGGACTAGGTCTACCTCGACGATCAAATTCAACACCTGCATAAACGGTGAATCGTTTTCGTTCAATTTCGGTTAATTCTGTGTAGCCACCGTGTGGATCATTAGTTATGTACAATGGATTATATAATTCAGCTTGTTGTGGATTGTTTCCACCTTCCACTCTGAACGTATAGGTACGGCCACGTTTTACGTAAAGAATAGGTGCTAATAAACCATTTATATACCAAACAAGATTAGGTGATGCTTGACCGGTGGAACCATAATAACCACGAAGACCACCAGAATCACCTAATCGTGCATAGAATGTGGTCATAGTTCGATTCAACAATCGTAATGGACCCCATGGCTTTGTGATCAACGATGAAGTTTGTGACAAAATCGGATTAGATGATTGTTGTTGTTGCTGTTGCTGTGATTGTTCCAATAGATCGGATCGAGGTGTTGTGAAATGAAAACAATTACGTTCAGCTTTTCGGCCAAATACAATCGATTTATCATGTTTAGGATAAAGATAATGAAATCCTGGCTGTTTCATAGTCGTTTGTGTTAGTTTTCCAACAGCCCATACAATAAACGTAGTTTTTGATTTGTCTAAAATTCGATCTCCTTCGTCGCCAACATTTTGTAGATTACGTCGATAGGTTATCCGTGTCAGAGAATCTTGTCGTTCGAATAGATTCACTTGATAATTATCTACACCACCCACTTTTTCATCTGGACATACACCACGATAATGGCCCAATATATTTGTACAAGGGAAAGTTCCGGTAATGTTATAATCACGTGTAAAACCTAAATGTGTTTCCATATATGCAATAGCAACATCTGAACCAATCATACGGCTTGAATTATTGGATCCAGAAATACCGAATGCCATATAATCATCTTTTTTCAATTGACCAATCAATTCGAAAGTGATCTGAGGACCAAACACTTCCCAATTAACCTGTAGTCGTTGATGAAGTTGTTCACAATTTGGTAAACGTGATTCAATTTTGATCACCGTTGTTAGTGCCGGTGGTATATTTAATTCTGCCGGTATAATGACTGAGCCTAGATTTTCCGAAAGTTCTTGATCCCAAACTGAAATATAGTTGATATCAAATATGGTCATATTGCCGGGCAATTCAAGGATGAGTAAATCATTTCGATATGGTCCTAATGGTTCGAGATATCCAAGTTCATTCGGTATTCGTTCACCAGCCGAATTAGGTTGTGGTCCTTGGCCTACCCAGAAATAAGCTTGTTTCCGATATCCATCATATGTGAAAGATGGTATCCGTATAGTTTTAGCATCCACAATAACTAAAGGTTCGGATTCGATTCCATTGGATAGTTGTGAGAATTCAGCTATCGTTTGTGGTGCAGGCGGTAAGAATCCTTCCGGTATGAAAATATCAGCAAAATTTTTCTGTGAACGAATATCCCATATGGCAAACCAACGTATCGTATGTATGGTTTTATCATCAGGTAATCGTATCCTTATGCTACGATTAATATATTGACGTAATTTATTCGTTCTACCCGTTTCATCGGGTACAATAAAACCAACATTACTAGGCAATACAGTAGCACCAACCCAGAAATAAGCATCTGTAAACCAAAAAATAAAAAATTAATCAATCAATCTGTTTATAAACATTAATGTTAAATGACTGACCGGAAGCAAGACCATCGTAGAAAAAATCTTTAATAAGTATGGTTCGTTCATCGATAGCATAAAGTTCGCCCGATACTTGATGAGCGTATGAATTAAGTTTTCCAATGTGAGCACCTTTATATTCCAGATGATTATTGGACATTTGACCATGTACAATGGATAACAACATCACATTGACCGAAACAAGCCATATCAATCGGATGGAAACATTCATACTTGTCGTTGTTATTTTCACAGATCGACTGGATAATATTCTGTTGAATATATGAATTCAATTTATTTGTGGATGAAATCATCCACCATTCATAATGATTTGATTCAATTGGTTCGCTATAAAAACACAACGATAATATTACGTTGATTATGTCATCATCACAATGGCCTAAGCTGTGTTCTTTGAAAAAAGTCATCAAGTTGTTGGCTCAAAACTACGCAAACACACACACACACACATCATTTGATAGTGGTGGTGTTGACCTAGTTGCATCATCTTTGAAGTCACACAAATACTGTTAGAACTTGTTTAGCTGCTTCTCATTTTTTTTCTTCGACTTTCTTATATATTAACTTTAAATTCTCAACTCAACAGAAAGAAATTATTCGAAAAAATAGACAATCTAGAATAGGTGTGTTTCTAATGTGTAAACATTTTTTTTATTTATTTATAAAAGATTAATAATTAATAATTATCAGTTTGTGTAATGGAAACTGTTTATGAAATTATTGATAATAAAGATTCTTTGGTCGAAATAATCGATTCGTCATTACTTTATTTCAGGAGAAGCTGTTGAAAATATATTTTTTTTTGTAAAAAAATTAATTGTAAATGAAAACAAAATAATCATACCTTCAATTCCGTATTGCGAGTATTCGAAACAACATTAAATAATCGTTTACGATTGTTAGCATCCGAAAGTAGATCTTTCCATCTAGGATTATTTTTAAATGATTCGTTATGTAAACATATAAATAATGATGATCGGGCTCGGGTTAATGCCACATTCATTCGTTGTTGATCACGAACAAAACCAATCGATCCTTTTTGATGATTCGTATTGTAGGCCCGAACACATGATAGAATAATGATATCACATTCTCGTCCTTGGAAGGCATCCACCGTTTCAATCTGGATATGTTCCAGCCATTTATCTGGAATTTTATTTTTCAATCCCTCTTTTATGGCCCTTTTTTGTTCACGATAGTATGTAATCACACCAATAGATATAGCAGGACGATTTTCTGAATTATTATTGTTGCAATCGATTTTATTCAATATTTCTATCAATAGTTTGCATATAAATTTAACTTCGAAAGCATTTAATTTTGATTGGTTCGAAGATGATTCTTTTGAATCGGTAATGTTGAACACAAAATACGGATGAAAATTTATATGGGGATTATAGCCACTATTAGTTGCCGTTAGTAATGTTGATTCATAGAAATGTTTGGAAGGAAAGCTACAAATTTCTTTATGCATACGAAATTGTTTCGTAAGACGCATAATTAATGGTGCATGTTCATCCGAATTTGATTGTTGTAAATGTAGATAAAACCGTTCCAAAAATGATCGGCCATAACCGGCACGATGAGCACAACGAGATATAACAGTAGCGGGTAATTGTAATGGATCTCCAATCATAATAACTTTAGTTATGGATTCATAAAGGAAAGGCATCAAAAATTCAGGTTCACTACATTGAGATGCTTCATCGATAATCAAACAACGGATGGCCATTTTTGAATAATTAAATGATGTGGAATGTGATCGGAACATATTCAATGATGAATGTTGGCTACTAGCCAATGTGGTTAAAATTATATCTGCATCACATATGAGACGATCACGTACGTTGGTTCGTTTCTCAAATTTTGGGAATTTTTATCTTTTCATTATTATCCGTATTTTTCAGACTGTTCAGATAGTCGGTTTGAATCTTTTCAAAATTATAATTTGTTAATGACTCAATTTCGTATGGTAACATATCTGTATGAATATCTCGAGGTTGTCCAATGCGTACCATTCGAAGTGGACGGCCATTCGGAAGAAATGTATCTTTTTCTTCTAATAAACGTAATCCGATTGCATCGATAGCACCATTACTTGGTGCACATATCATTATACGTAATGGATATTTCGGTGTTGTATTTTTGTCCATAAGATTAGATAGAATATTTTTGACAATACCTAATAATGTATGCGTTTTACCAGTACCGGGTGGACCTTGTATCATAAGCATACGAAATTTTATATGTGGTAACATCATCATCTTCAATGATGCCATAATAATATTCTGTTGTTGGACAGTATATCGATGCGTATCGCATAATTGAAATGATTTCACATGTAATTCATTTAAACTTGTTTGAAAGCAACATAATTCTGTATTAAGTTCGATTAATGATTTAAACAAATTGGCTCGATGTGATTCCAGATAGGTGAGCGTTTCGAAAAGCCGTAAAGAAGGCCGTAAATAGAACAATGGTTTGATAAGCCATTGATCGTCTTCCAGTGATAATTTGGTTGATTTATCATTATTTTTATTGTTATTATATCTCATAATTTCATATCTAAGCCATTGGCCATCATTTCGATATTCAATTTCCACATCATTAATGAATCCCACGTAAGATTCATTTTGTTTGGCATTATTATCACCCATTTTCGATCCAATGATAACAATATAATTGAGGAAATGATGTTGCTCGAAAACTAGATCAAGTGTAAGTTTACATTTGAATATTTCATGTACAAAACTATAGGAAACATTTTCATCGTCCTCATCAATTTGATTCTTACAGACCATTGTTAATAAGAATTCTGATTGAGATTTCTGTTCAGGTTTCGGTTGAAAAACTGCTTGCATGATTTGAGCAAATGTATTTATAGTGATTAAAGCCAAATTGTCCATTTTATAACGTGAGATTGAACCATAACGCAATTTCATACCGTTTTTGAGTAATGTTTCTAATTTGAATGGTAATTTAGTAATTTCATACGATTTTTTTATATTATCAATGTAGCGTTCTTCTAACGAATTGAAATCAACAATTTGATGTTTATTTTCCATGTTAAAAAGGCTTGGGTTGATCGATAAAAAAGGAAGTAGAAAAAGATTTTTATCATAATGAGATATGAAATTATTTTGTTGAATTGGACCCAAAACAGGCCGTTCAGGTGTATATGGTGTAGGCGAGAATGCTCTACCAATTATGAAATGTGATTGTTTCGTTTGCTGATCTGATTGATTCGCAATGGATTCTTGCTGTTTCAAATTATTTGAACGAAATTTCTTCCTTTTTTCGATATTGTTTCTCACAAATTCGATGCCAGTATCGCTTGTACGTTTAACACGTTTAGTTTGATGGCAATCATTACCTTTTGATGATGTAAGTTGTTTCAATAATGGCCTTGGACTTGGCGGTATATCATATTTCGAATCTAATGGTTTATCATCATTTTTTTCTTTTAGATGATCTTTTAGACAATCATTTATCTTCTTATTAGGTGGTATCATTTTTTTCAACGTCTTAGTATTAGCACGAGGAGATTTTCGTTGATTGTCCATTCTATGTTTATTGTTAGATTGCATCATTTTAGGACTAGATGAATAATTACAATGATCATTAATTAAATTCAAATCGGAAAAAATAATCGGATATTGTGACCGTTCTTTGTAAATATTATTCGGCTTTATAATGGTCGATAATAATTTATCGGTCATGATTCAAAAATTTGATTCGGTTTATAAACAAACAAAAAAATTGACAACCGTTTTTCGAAAAAAAAAATACGAAAACACATTTGATCGAATCGAATGTCAGTTTGCATTCTATATTTCTGCTGCTTTTATTATCACACATTGAAAACTTGTTGCGCGCTTTTATTTTGCCTCTTCCACTCTCAAAAAAAAGAAGCACACACATGTTTATTTTAATGTGCTGCTAGATTTTAGCCACCACCATTCATGATCATATCCAATGATTGGTTGCAGTATTTTTTTGTGTTGTTTGAACTAATAGATCGAAAAAAAATGTGAAATGAAACGGAAAATTCACTTGAATTCACAATTCGATTATTCACCATAGTGATTCTAATGTACTTGTGATAATATGATGATTGATGAATGTTTTCAATGAATTTCTTTTGCAATCATTTTCAATCAAATATAAGCTTTTTTTCATGAAAAAATGCATTTTTGGTGATATAATAGTTGTGAATGTGTATAATTACTATAGTAATTTTGTTTATTTTATTTTAATTTAATTTAATTAACACTATGTAGAAAAAAAATAACAAAAACTAAAAAAAAATTGGCTATTTTATGCAATAAACAAAACAAAAAAACTATTAGTTTATCGGTTTTTGGCCCCGTCCTTGCGTGCGTCGTCATTCAGCTTCCTCTTCACCTCCCTCCATCATCATCATCATTGATTTATTCACGATTTTTTTTTTGATGATTATATTGATTTAATTCGAATAATAAAAAAATAATTTACCACCGAGTGGATGGATATAGATACACTGTGCTGGCTAAAGATGTTCGGGTACAGTTTTTAATGCTTCCAATGGATCACGATTTAGTAGACAATTCTGCAAAGAGGAGGTAGAGAGGAGTAGTAGTGATATTGCCAATTAGATATTAGTGATGTGATTAGATCAATTTATATGTGGCCATCATCAGGTATTATATAACACACACATGTAGAATAATAAAGGACACAGGGACAGATATCAATCAATTGAAAAGAGAAAAAAAAATGAAAAGAAAAGAAAGACCAGATTGTTGTGTGTGTGTGTGTATGAGTACAACACATAGTAAGACATAAGCAAGTTCTTCAAAGAAAAAATTAAAAATCAAAATATTCAGAACCAAGAATTTGTCGTAATTGTTTTAGATGTAATTGTCGACGATTGTTGCTTAATGCTACAGCATGATACGGTGATGGTGCACTAATTTTACGACATCGATTATTATATTCCATCATTAGGCTTAAACGATTCAATGTGGGAAGTGATGAGCTAAGTGATGATCCATCATCATTGTTTGGCCTGATCGATCCTTCGGGAGCATCGATTGTATGCTCAATTTGTTTATCATTATCACTATCATCATTCGATGATGATAGTAGATCCATTATTATAGTTGGCGATTGTTCTGTATTATCGAACATTGATTGTGGCCGATATGGTGTAAACCACTCCTGTTCCTGATCATCATTGATAAGTTCCAGATGATTTGCAATGATTTCAGGATCAACAGATGATTGTTCCTTTGATTGTCGATCCATAATAAAACGAAATTTTTTAGTTGTTGTTTTTGTTTACCCGATCCACCGAAATGTAATGTGATCGGAGAATGAGGGCCCGATGATAGTAATGATGATGATCGTGATCGTCCATTGTCTTGTATGACCGTCCTCTTTCAAACACAAAACAGTAATCAATAAATGATTGAATGACCATTGTTTTCTCTTATCTCTCGAATATACGATGCTGGCTAGCTAAAAAAAATATCTTGCACTACAAGGGGGTATTCTTTTGTTATGTGTGTGTGTGGGATGGGATTGGTAAGTGGATATATATTCATGGGACATTTGTGGGTGTGTATGTGTACATTGTAAGTTTAACAGGTAACGATTAACATCGACAACAAAAGCTCGATTGATTTAAATGGTGGATTGGTGGCTGCTTAGCGTTGTTTCTAATTGACTATCCTCTTCAATCTTATTGGCCATTAAGAATGTGTTTAACGACATTTTTCTTATATCATAAACCGAAATACATTTGCTTGGTTGTGGTGGTGATATTTCAAATGTAGGTAGCTGATCTTTTTCATGTTGTTTCATAATTTGTTGATAATAATAATATGTACTGGTCGTATTGTTGTCCATGTTGTTGTCGTTATTGTTGACCAAATTTTTCGATTGTTTCATTATCAATGACTAATATATTATTCAAACCAAAAATAATTGCAGCCACCATTCCACAAGCCGTATTATAATTGATCATAATGACAGATATGGACCGTTATGTAGAGTATAAATATATAGAGACAGACAGATAGAATGAACACATAGGACCCCAATACAAACAAACAAACAAAAAATAGATCCACCACCACCACCAACATACATCAATACAGTGAGGGAAAACAAGAACATGCCACATATAAAGAATAGACAAGAAAAAAAAGAGAGATAAAAAAGACAAGACAATAACAAATTAAAGATGCATATATATAAGAAAAAACAAAAAGACAAAATGAAAAAAAAATTCATGGGAAAAGAATGTGTATGTGTCTGTGTTAGATATTTTGATTTTTTTTCTGGATAAAAGGCAAGGGAATTGATTTTGTACATACGAAACAAAAAAAAACTCGTTCACTTAATTAGCCAATTATAGAACATACCTGTGGTTTTTCACGATGTGTATTCACTGCCGGTATCGGTACTTTAATCTCTTCCAATTCACAACCATATGCAACCGGTGTCAATTTAATGATTGTATGTAATGGTACCTTTAGATAGGGTAATTCCTCTGCACAAAAATGTACATTTGTAATGCCATTCATTCATTATACATGAAAAAAATAGATCGAAACAAATTATTAATTGTAAAAAAAAACAGAAAAAGATATAGTTGGATGGATGATTGTTTTGTTTTTTTTTTTTTTTTTTGATACACCATGACAGAAAATTTGGAACGATGGTTGGAAAGGAATGGAATGATAAAATATAGGATTAGAAAATAAAAATGATGTTATCAGAAATAGTAATAATAATAATAATAATAATAACAATAAATGACCACCAATGACAACAAATGAACACACACATACACACAAACGAACGAAAGCTGATAAAATTTGATAAAAATTTTCATAGCTAATTTGAATTATATAATTAGTGATGATGATATTAATTTATGTTTCAGTCATTGTATATATTTAGTAAATATGTGATTTGTGTTGTTTTTTTTCATGGTCATCAATCAAACAATATCATGGTCTTTGACAGCAGCGACAGGTACGATGATCTCTTCACATTGGCAACCATATGCTAATGGTGTTAATTTGATTATCGTATGAAGTGGTACATTTATGTATGGCATTTCATCTGAATTTATCGCAAAAATTTTGATCCATAATTATTGCCATCACCATTACCACCACCACCCAATAATGTAACGAACAGGTAACATAACACACATATAAATGATGGACAAAACAAATCGAATCGACCAATAACATTGAGACGACCAATGAAAAATTGACAAAAAAAATAGACAGACAATATATAACAAATATAAATATGTAGTGTGAGACATGAAACAGTGAGTGAGAGATAGAGAAAAATATGAACACAACGCAAACGGTCAATAGATAAATTGTAAGATAAAAAATGGAAAAGCACAAAAGAAAAGGAAAGAACAAGAATAGAACCATAAGATTAGATTAATTAGCCATATGAACACTTTTTAGATTTTTTTTTAGTCAGCGTCATGAGGGTTAGATTCTTGAATTTTTTTCAAAAAAAAAAAAAAAAATAATATCAGAAAGGTCATGCTATCGTTCCTTGATTGTTGTTGGTAATGTCATTCCGATTACACTTGATATTCATATCCTATATGTCAACTCGACACTTACCTTGTGGTTTGTCAAGAAAATATGCTAATAAACAACGGATAACTGCTTGATGTGCTACAACCAATACGTTTTCCTGTCGTTCCAATTCCATAATGACCGGTTCTAATCGAGCAACTAAATCTTCATATGACTATAACGGGCAGTAATAAGATACAAAAATGGTTAATGATTCAATTTAATAATGATAGATACATACCTCTCCTTTTGGATATCGATAATGGAATTTATCTTGATCACGAAGTGCAAATTCTTCTGGATATTTTTGTTGAATCTCTTCATAAGTCATCTCTTCACAGATACCGGCATCAATTTCATTCAATGCTTTCCATCGTTCCTGTGGTGCTTGTATCAATTCCGATGTTTGACATGTTCGTTTTAGCTGTGATGTCCACACACGAAGACGAGGAATAGCCTGTTCATGGATGTATTGTGCTAATGCACGTGAATATTCCCAACCACGTTCCGATAGTTCAGCATCGCCACCAATTCTACCCAATAAATTATAAACAGATTCGCCATGTCTTGTAAGATATATTGATCGAGGTGTTATATGAATGTTCATCAGATAATACACTACTCGCGATTGAATATGACCTTCATGACGATGTACAAGTACACGTTCACCGGCATTAAATATTCGCATGAATGATAACTGTTTTTCACGTTCTTCACAGAGTGGTTCATACACTTGTTCATAATGAGAAATTCGTACCATAAAATCACGAAGGGCTTCATCCTGACCCATATCACGATAATCAGGACTATGAACTTTTACCTCCTGTAACATTATAACATGAATAAAATAAACAAATGTGAAGTTTAACAAATAACAGCGGTAACTAACTTTAACGTTGGCTTCAATAATTTGTGGATCATTACAATAGGATTCGACAAAAAATAATTTAAATCCATATTTTTCGACGACAAATTCATTAATCAATTCTCGACGTTCAAATGTTGTATTTGTTGCATCATACACAGCCAATTCTCCATTACCATCTTCAAGCCACATGCACATATCTTTGAGTGCAGCTAATGCGCATTGACTATGAAATAAAAAACAATAAACAACAACAATATATGGATCATCATATTCATGTTTGTTCTCTTGGCTTACCTTCGAATAACCTGTGCATCTTTGTTATCAGGTCGAAAAAAATCATGATTACGATATAATTTCGTAGCCTGACGACGATATTCACCAACATTGAATACACGTGTCTTGATACCGATCCAATTCATATATCGGGTCAATTTTTTCGCTATATATGTTTTGCCACGGGCCGGAAGGCCTACCATGGCTATAACATGCGGTATATTCACATAGGTAGTCGTTCGATCACCTAATTAAACATAAAATGTGTCAAGCAATTTGTTTTCAATTACATAATCATACTAACCTCGAATAGGAAATGGTTTGGCACCACTACTTGTGGATATTTTTCGTTGCGGCGGATGTAAGGGTGGTTGTGATTGTTGTGGCGATTGAAGGGCTGATTGTGATACAGATGGTGCTGGTGGTGGAGGAGAAGGTTGTTTAGGTTGCTGCTGCTGTTGTTGATCATTGTCATCATTTTCAACTATGACCGTCATGATTTTTCGATTAAAACGCACAATTTTTTTTTCAATCAACCAAAATAAAATTCATTCAAATTTAAATTGATTTAAATACGACACCCGACGTTTGGTCTGAAAATGAATAAACAGATAATCGAATGATTAGTACATGATTATATTGATAAGTATGATAAAAGTATAGTTAGTTAATTAATTATCAATGACAATTCAATTTATTAATGATTGCGGTCTATTTGATCTTTATAATATTTAATGTCATCGCAAATCATTGATTGATGATTGCTGTGTGATTGTTTTTCAACTTTTGTTGTTGTTGTTGTTTTCGTTATAATGATTCCACATTAATCAAAAAAAAAAAAAAAAAAAAGATTCGTACATTCTCATATATCTTAAGTCTGGATTATAATTGTAAGCAAATACATATAGATATAGATAAATCACCCCTTTGTTTATATGTTGATATGGATTTATAAGATGAAAAAAAAAATATTCACTGTTTATAATTGATCGATAAATGTTGAATGTTAAATTTAAAAAAAAAATACAAGAATATGATGGATTATTGAATAAATTGAATTCGATCATATGGTGTGTGTGTGTCCCATAGACAAACAAACAACCTTGAACATGTTCATGTTCATGTGAATCTAAATAGAATCACACAAACATCACACGCCATCTGTTGATTCAATAACTGAAATTATTTTTTTATTAAAAAAAATTTTTTTTTACAAATATCTTTTGGTTTCAAAAAAATGTTTAAGATAATAAACTTCACCGATAAAAATCATAACAATAATAGCCGTCTCAAATGCACTCCACATCATAAGCATATGATTTGTTTGTTCATTAAGTTCATGATGAACAATCATTGAATAACGTTGAATTTCAGCCTCATATTTAACCATTAATAGTTGTTGATTTAATCCATTAAGCATCCGTTTTTTATCAATATCATCATAATCATCATTATTCGTATTGTTTCTTAGTAATGAATGATTGAATGAAATGACCACCTCGAAACGAATCATTTTAGTCGAATGTGATACGGTTGCACCATTATTATCGAAACAATATTCATAGGTTCCAGGTTCATTAATGGCAATCATCAATCTATCACTTGATGTACCTAACGATTTATATAGGCTTGTATCGATACGAGTATTTTTAAGATAAAAATTAATATCTGTAAAACCGCCGGCAATCACATCGAATATTATTGATAATTTAGCTATGCTAACATTGCTTTGCGTATTCTTGCCACGTTCAATGTGTTCATGAAAACATTGTTGCTCATGAAGATCAAGTGTTATCGTTGCCATATTGGCCACATCCATAATGATTATGATGATAACCATCAAGATAAAACAACATTGAATTGTTGACTTCATCATCTTATATAATATAAGAATATATTATTATAAATACAGCTATGATGATGACAAATTTCACTAAATGCATTGGAAAACCATCATCAAAAATTACATATCATACCAAATATAATAATTCGAAAATCGAATGAATGAAAAAAAAACGAAATAAGAATCGAATTAGAATGAGCTATCGATAGATGACAGCACATGGAATCTGCTTTAAAAAAAAAATAAAATAACCGAACATTGTTCATCAAGAAATTTTTTTTTCGTTTTGTTTTGTTCATTGTGTTATGTGTTAATCAAAACATTTCAAAAAGTCAAATTATTTTTTCATCTAAAACCAAAAACTAGATTCTGGAGATATTGAATGTCTTTTTTTGTGATTTTTGTTACAATTTTGAATGACAACAGTAACAACAACAAAATGATTATTCTTAGCATTGACAAACATTATATTGTTGTTGTAGTCGTCGTCGTCGTCGTTGTCGCTATTGCTTGGATGTCCAATTAGTGAAACATAGACAAAAAAAAATCCAGAATAAAAAAAAAAATGTTAAAGTACATCGGTGATAACCAATCTCTACGACATGTTGTTGTTAATCACTATGATTTTGACTGCTTCAAATCCGTTCGATTTACTTTACACGAATGATGATTATGATGATGGCCTATCAAATCATTCGAATTCTAATCTAGAAAGAACAAAATGATTTTTGAATTCTGGTACTCATTTTTTTCCTATACGGAATTTGTTTTATTATGAAACACAAATGAAATATAATCATATAGCTGTTTAAATTCAAAAATCAACCTATTCAATTCAAACAGTTGTTGCTTTGATTGTTGTTGTTCGGTAAATCCCTTTTTTATATATTCATCAACAAATTCAGGTCCCGAAAAATGAGGAGAATTTTTTTTCTTTTGTTTGTTCATCACACAAATCCTGCCACAATGATGAATGATTCAAAAGAAAAAAAATTTATACGAAAAGAAAATCCTCGATCAAAGACCTCGACATTGAAATTTTCATTACAATTACAATTTCTTGTTTTACATCATGCAGGTGGTGATTAAACCGATGATGATGATGATGATGATGTTGATATACGAATCAAATCAAAATTTCAAGTGTGAGAAAGTTTTTTCTTTTCTTTTCATTTTCAATTTCGTAACAAAATATTCGGATATACAAATACAAACACACAAAAGATGAATAAATGATTCGGAGAATAACAAAATATAAATCCCGAGAAAGAAAAGAAAAGAAAAAAAATCATTTTGTTCATATTGTTCCGTTAGCCTTGAAAATTTGCCTTTTGAAATTAATGAAAAATGGTGGTTGATGTTCAAAGACCTAAAACGAAAACCTTCAAGGTCAAGATGTTCATTGGCCATTGTCGTTGGTATTGGCCGTGTGTGTATTTTACATCATACTTTATACATAATGTATAGACAAAGTTTTTTTTATAATAATTTTCACACACACACACACATTAAGAATGTTGTTGATTTTTGTTGGACAAATAAATGTTCCAAAACAAAAAAAGGAAAAGGTAGCTCACCACGGTCAAGGTAAATGAAATCATCATCAATTGATATTGAAATCTGAAAGCAAAGAAAAGAAAATTTCTTTTTTTTGTTATTGTTGTTCCCATGAATTGATGCCTAAAGTCTCGGGTAAATTTGTTCGGTTATTGCATAATCGAATGTATGGGGCGGTGATCAAATGGTATTAAGATAGCATAGCTATAGGTAGAAAGGTAGGCAGGTACACACCACAACGCGTCAATGGAAGTGAAAAATACCGTATTTCAATTTTTTGTTCCATAAACTTGCACTCACATACATCGACGGGTCATTTATGTTTTTGTTATCAAACCCGACGGTTTTTTCTTCAATTTTGATCTTTATTTGTTTTTTCGTTAATTTTTCGTTTTTTTTGTTGCCAACATTTGAACATCAACAACCTGTGTTTGTGTGTGTGTGTGTATGTGTTTATGCAACTCTATGAATTTTATTTTTGTCCCTAGTTTCATTACATTATTTATAACAAAAATCGATCATATGAATCATTGAATATATTGTTGGAATAGTCCACTTGATCTACATATGAAAACAACAGCCTCAAACGGTCAGAAAAAAAACGGAATTCGGAATTTCATTCTGTTCAGTCAAACAGCAGCAGCAGCCGCAGTCTGATTGGTAAATATTCGGACAAAAAAAAGTTTTTTTTTGTTGCTGTCGTTGTTGTTTTCCTTACTTTGTTAACTTCTGAGAAATGAAAGAAAAACGAATCCCTAATATGTTGAATATAATAAATAAACGGAGAAAAAAATATGGTGACAAAAGTTTATTCAGATTCACGATATTTTTTTATGTTTTTGTTTTCATCGTCATTCATCTGATTTGTCACATTCACATATTCATTTCTGAATCCATTTCTGTCATAATCATTACACTCAAATGACAAAGAGAAAAAAAATATTCAACTTCAATTACATTGTTGAAGAATTTTGTATTGAATGACAATAATCTATTCCAATCATTCATTTATTATAATAAACGGTGGTTTGTTTTTTCCACACACATACAGTTGTATGGCTAGCTAGCTTGTTAGCTTTGTTTATCATTTTTGGTCCAGTCCTATTCAAAAAAAAAAAAAAACGAAAACGAATCAAGTCCAGTTCCGGAATACAGTAGACAAACCAAAAGTTGTGTGTATTTGCACAAAATTGGATGCGGCCAAACAGTGGACAAAATTAAAATGCTTGAATCAAAAGGAAGCAGTATTGAAACATATATGATGTGACTATATATACGATACAACCAGAATCAGATTCATGATGTGCGTGTGTGTGTGTGTGTGCTATTCAGTTTCTGGTTTTTTTTCTGTGAGTGTGTTGATGCGGTTATCATGTGTATAGGAAAATGAAACATCAATGATGTATATGATGATGTGAGGTGGGGAGATTGGTTAGAGAATTATAAGAAGGTGGAAGTGGCCAGTTGAATGAATTGGGTTTAAATGTTTTTTTTGTCTGATGAATCATAATGTGGATCCAGAGAAAAGAAAGAAATGAAATTTTTTTTTTTTTGTCTTACGGTCCACATAGGTTTGGTCTTTTGGTTTCTCTTTATCTGTGTGGTATATACAATGTTCGCCTGTTTCATATTGCCACCACCACCACCACCATGATCACCATTAACACTACTACTGCATGGGCTGCATCCAATTTGGATCACACATCGAATATTCTTTTACTATTATAATAGCCCATCGAACATAAAAATGATGATGAGGATTTTGTTTTCTCTTTCTCACGAATAATAAATCTATTAATCTTTACAATAATTTGTACAGTCAAAGATTTTTGATTTGTTTTTCCTAAAAAAACCAGAAAAAAAACAACAAAAGAAAATTCCTAATTTGTTATTGCTTTTTTTTGTTTGTTTTCATCCATTATAGTTCCTGAGGCTCATCTTGTTTGATTTGGTTCTTTGTTTTTTTGTTGTGGTCAATTTCAACGATGGTCATCATCCGAAGAAAAAAAATTCATTATAATCATCGCATCCACCAATAATATGCGTTTATCTCTACTGTCGCCTTTTGATTGTAGCTCAGAAGGCGTTCAAGTTAATTCAATTCATTGTTTTTACACTTGTTTTCAAATTTTAATTAATTAATATATATCGCCTCTGAGCTATGATCAATAGCTGAACAGTAGAATAATTTATCAACATTTAAAAAACATAAACAATCAAAAAAAAAACCAAAGAAGCAAAAAATGTAATCATTACAAAAAATCACATAACAGATTGTCAAAGTAGTGTCCCTTGTTTGATCGTCTGAAAAGAAAACATCACATTAATGTTTGTATGACCTCAATTTGTTTTGGCCTAAATGGCCACCAGATCAACATGACATATGGCCCGATTTATTGCCAATCTAAAATATGCACAGGTAAGCTGCTGCTACTCATGTTGCTTTCCATTTACATTGACAACCACTACTATGTGTTTGGGTAAGTAACATAGGTACGTTTATAAAACATTTAAAAATTTTAATAGATTAGATATGGTCATTTTTGAAATTATTATACATTTGAAAAAAAACATACAGGTTGGTTTAATAATGTTTTATTTTTGCCTGCCTTTCTGGGAATACGTGGTAAACGGTATACGGTTCACATGGTCATCATCGTATTCATTTGTGATTTTTGATATCACACCATCATCATCATCATCAATCACAATCCAGATTGACCAACACTTTGGATTTCACTTAACTAGCTTGATCTGTGATATGTTTGAATGAAATCGATGTGGGTATATAAAAAAGAAGAAAATTGAAAAATTATATTTTTTTTCGTCCCTCACACAGAAACCAAAAATCGACAAAAAAAAATTTAAATGAAATCGAAAATGACGAATTCGTTTTTTTTTTGAATTCAAATAATGGGGATTGGCCATAATGTACAATACTGCCACCATCACCACTATAAGACACTCGGGTCACCATAATCATCATGTCCTTGGATAGTGGATTTAGACGACGGTCAACAACGAACGAAAAAAATACAAACAAATCATCAATCACAGACGACCTTGTTGACATATAAAGGTTCATGCAGCCATCATCATCAGCACATACGCAAATGACCGGTAGCTCGGTATTTTCTCCTATTTTGGAACCTCGTATGATTTGTATTATTGGTCATCATCATCATCATAGTCTAGAAAAAAATGATTAATGGATTTCACCTGAATAGACAATATATCAATTTTGTCAATGACAATCTTTATTATTATTGTTTTCATGATTTTATATATTGTTATTATTTGCAATCACACACACACCTTACATCCGTTCATATGTTTAATATATTTTTTCGAATAACATTCGATCCAAAAATCTCAAAAATCATCTTGTAATGGTGGATAAAGACGAATCATAATTTGATATAATGATGTAAGTCTTGAATAAGCATCAATATTTGCTTCATACATTTGATCCTGATTGTTAAAGGTAATTTGATCATTATTAGTGGCCTGATGATTATCAACATTGATGATCATCGATTGTCTGGAACAAAAAAAATCCTCCAAATTGTTGACAGGATTTATCTGTTGATTTGTCGAAATTATTGAAATCCTTATACAATCAATGAATAATAAGGCATCTAAAAGTTCCAGCAATTGGACAGGCGGTAGATGGCGTTGAAAATAATTTTCTAATTGTGAAATATTGGCGCCAATCGATGCATTCGAATCGGTGGCCAAATAATCGATTATGGCACTCATAAAGACGAATAGAGTTCGTATATCAATATGGCCATCAGGATATTTCCACATTCGTGGTAAAAAATAACATTTTTTTACATTTTTCATTAAACATCTTTCCAATGCAACCAAATGATCGACATTGAAATCTAAATGTCGAAATGATCGTACCAACCAGAAACGGATATAATCTTGATGTACCCAAGTTCGTGTTCGAACACCCACAGTAAACACTAATTTATGATGTTGACATTCATACAGAAAATCGGTGATTATCTCTTCAACATCATTCATAGATTTTGTTAAAGTCAAAAAATCAATTATCTGATCTAATTTGGCTCCCAATTCTTTTTTAGATCGTATAAATTGTAACAAATCTTCTAAACTGAGATGATCAACGTTTAGAATGGAACTAACCATTTCTTCATATTTTTTAATTAGAGTGGAAGGAATTGACTTTGAATCTTTTTCATCGGATTTCATTTTTGACCATAAAGGAATATCTTGATCATCAAATATCTGTGCTTGAATAGCGAATCGATAAAGAAATTTATTAAATGGTAAAACTTGATTAGATGGATTAGCCGATTTTTGTTCGACACGTACACGACAATGTATCACTGACATTTCATCGACCAATGATGAAGATGATGATGATTTTGTTTCTTGGTTTTCAGTTGCTGATTCCATTCGATTCGTACGATTCATAAGCATACCTCTAGCATTAGTTTTAGCCGGTAATCTACTTTGATCAATCGGTCCACGTGTATAGGCAATAAAATTATCCGGTATTTCGATATGAAAATTTATCATTTCCAACATACGTGGAGGTAATAAATCACCTGATTGCCATTGATTTAAATCTTTGGTCACAATCGATGATGTTGATGATGACGGTGTTTGTGAATCATCATTCAAACTAAGGGCATTGATGCAAAGATTTTCGGCAAATTGCATTGAACCAACAATAGTATTATTATCTTCGACCATAGTAACAATCGTTGATGGATGTTGTTGTTGACAATCAACTTTAAGTTCATAATTTCGATGATTAGCCATTAATGGTCGATAGAATAGCTGTGTTAATTTATATGCACAGGGAAATAATTTACTTTTATTGCCTTTAGGTGATAGTTTTTTATTATGACTCAATAAACGATATCGAACCAAACGTTTAAGAATTAATTTTAATAATGATTCAGGATAGCGACGAAGTGCTGCACGAAATATTGTTCGTAGAAAAAATCGTTTTAGATATTTTGGTTCTGGTTGTAAACGTCGTAAATGTAATTGTTCATCTTTGTTTTTAGATGGTTCGCGGTGATGATGAATAAGGAAAGAGAATAATGATGATAATAAAACATTGGTGATAACATAACCGTGAATATCATAATAGTTTTTTGGATCCACATAATAGGCTTTGCTATCATCACCTTCTGGATCGATAATATCATAACGAGATAATAGTTCATCGATTGTAATATTTTCATCAAAATGAATCAAAAATTGAGCATCGGATCGGGATCGAAGATCTTCTTTAGTCATAAAATATTCAGTATTACGAAATTGATAAGACATTATTTCAGGTAAAAGACGAACGAATTTATCTTTTTCACTACTTTCGTTATTATTAACATTAAAATCGGACGGCAGCCAAGTCGGATCTGTTTGTAATTCCATCATACATATGGTCAATATTCGTTTTATATGTGGTCGACGCATTAAACGTACAATACGTCGAATACATGAATCTGCCGATTTATCTTTGGATTGTCGGCCACAATATTGAATCATTAATTCGCTGATTATTTGTGAATTTATAATAAATCGACGTGTATAAGGTACACCAAGCAATTCGGACAGTAGCCTACATCGAAGAATAAAACGATCTTCTTCACGTGACCATGATATACGTAATGTATCGGCGCTTTCAACTTGTTGTACATCCACAGCATTATTAAAAACTTTTTTCCGAATTCTGGTGACTGGTTTACCATCAATCGTTACTTGAACTTTAACTCGTTTATTCTTAAATGATCGCAAATCTTGTTTTCGTTTACGTTTATGGGATTGTTGATCTCGAATATTTTGCCGCAATAATGCACGTTTATGATGTCTAGAAGAATGAGGATTGTACAAAGAGTGGATATTGATTTTTCTCTCATCAAATATACATTTATCACATGTTCGTTGAGGTTGTTGACATAGATGATCGTATACGATATCGACAAAACGATCAAAATCGGCCATCTTATCAAAGTAGTATTCAACCATTGTTGGCTCCTCAAGCGTTAATGTTTCGCTATCTTGTTTCAAAGGCTGATATTGTTTGACCAATAAGAACCTGTTTAATCGATAACGGAATCGATGAGCGAATTTCTTATCAAAATGCTGAGCTTCATCATCTGAAAGTAATAGGTTAACGAGGCCCATTTGATGTAATGATTGTAATGATTCTTGTATATCGATTGGTGATCGACGATTTTGTAATAGATGAGATCGAATAACCGGTGGAATTTCTTGTAACATTAGATGTCGTTTACATGGATCGTTAAGATAAGTATCAAGATCCGGAATTTCGTGACGTATGGTAACCAGATTTCGATATATGGACAAAGGAATATAAGGTAGGATGTCTAACGAAGAAAAACATCCCTCTGGAAAAATGAATTATCATTAAATTATATTGTGTCAAATGAAAAACTATTTAACTGATATAACTTACGTAAGAAGGTCAATTTAGGAACACGTTTCTGCCAGTCAAGTTCATTATTATCACAATTTTCATCTTGCACATGACTTGAATCGATTTGTACGGATGGTTGGTCAATCATAACATAGAACAAGAATCGATAAAGGTCGAATATTTTATCCAGTTTTGAATGACGACAACCATAGAAATGAGCAGATAATGATGGACAATAAGCTAGCCGTGTGATTGGTATCAAATCCAAATCATCATCATCTTTTTGTTGTTCTTCAGTTGTTGATAAACGTTGTTTTGCCGAAACCAATCGAGAAATAGCTGTTTGGAAATCAATTTTCCCATTTTGATCATAGTCAATCAGATTGGAACATTTAACATCGGCATTCAAATCGATTGGATAACGGGCAAACCAAACAAATCGAGAACGAAGAATAAGATGTTGTTCCAGTTCCTGATCCAAATGATGTGGATTTTGGCCATCTGCCAGATTAATAACATAGTAACTATTGCGACAATGTTGTTTGTAATTAAGTCCATAATGCAATAAACGTACACGGTTAATGTCGACCAAATAATTCAATATTCGTATAATGGATTTTACATCAATTCGATATGAAAGATGGCCACGACTTTCACAATTTAAAATGTATCGTCGTATCCAGACAAAACTATCACAGATACCTAATCGGCTTATATAATCTAAGATGAGTGTCATTCGTTTTTGATAGGCAGCATCCACAATGGTAGATTGTGGCTGTTGAACAATTGAATGTCGTGTCGAAATGTTTGATTGGAACATGTGAATTGATTGACGACCAACTCGCTTCACGGTGAATGTTATGTTGCCTGATTCTTTCAAACCACGTAACATTAAACGTATGATATTGACCGGTAGATCACAGATATTGATCAATTTTCTCTTCGAATATGGACCACATACGGCCAATAAATTCATTATACGATCATCCAGATAACGAGGTAATTGCTGTAATCGAGCAAGCGATAATTTTAGCCTTTCACCTGAATGACTTGGCGTAATATAATGATATGGATGATTTGGAGTGAGAAAATAACGTCTAAATCGACGATCATGAATATGCATTGTTAATGGCGTGAGATGATTTTGTTTGATTTCTTGAACTGTCGGAATAACTATAACTTTATCCGGTTCATGACATAACGATAAAATGTTGGCACTTATTTTCGGAACAATATCTTTCAAAGAAGTTTTGGTGGATTCCAATTTTGGTTGATTGAAAAATGCATTGTAATCAAAATTTGAATCCGACATGATCGCTTCAAGTGGATCATTTTTGTCATTATCAATGTCGACACCAAAATCATCGAATAATTTACCTAGGTCACATCGCTGTAGTTTTGTCTGCGATTGTTCAAAGACTTCTGAATCATTGTCATCATAGTCATCATCTTCCATGTCCATGAGTACATCGCCATCAGGTTCATTGTCATCAACATTATCATCATCATCGTTATAATCATCATCATTGTCATCACCATCGCATGTGGTACGATCTAGACCATCTTGGACTGTGTTGGATACCATTCGAAAAAAATCATCATAATGCAATGGATGTAGATTCAATGATCTTTGATATTCAATTACTGTTCCATCATCATCATCTTCTTTAATACGAAAAAACTCGGAATATTTTTCCATGATTCTTCTCAGTAATTTCAATGGAACACAATTTTTGAATTGTTGGAGAAAAAATTCTCGTAGAATATCATCAGAGAGAGATAATCGATTACGACCAATTTGTATAAACAAACGAGAGAGGGCAATCATTTTCGAATCATTAGGATAGGACATTTTCGGACGGAATCTAGGCAAATAAGCTACGATTGCTTGTGAAACTTGTTGTCGTTTGGCTTTGAACAGGGTGTTCGTTATGGACAATATCAATCGTTCATCGGTCAAAATTTTACGAAAATAATAGAAAGAGGCACGAATTTTTGGATCTAGATACTGAGGCGTTTCTTTGCCAAAATTTATCTCACCATACCAACGTTTTAGGCCAATCGATTCAAGAATCAAATAACACTCAGGTTTTAAATGATCGTATTCAAACCAACGATCAGCTCCAAACAATGAGATAGCACGAAGTTTCTGTGATGCGACCATTACGATTTGTAACATTTGTTCGCTATATTTGCTTTCGAATTGATCAAAATTTGTAGGTCGATCTCTAAGAATTTTGGCGGTAATATTCACTCGGCTATGATAGTCGACACAAGAACCGAGTATCTGTGCGTCTGGATTTGATTCATTAGATGTAGGTTTTACACCAATCACAGGCGGATAAAGATTATCTGGTATCTGAGAATCATCGACCAATAATGTACCGGTCTCTTGTACAAAATAATTATTTCGATCATAGATCTGAACCTTTCGTTGAGCGTTTTTAGTGCGATAAAATTGGATATTACCTACAACAAGTAAACAATTGAAGAATTCTGCTATTTCTCCAATGAATGTAGTTCACTTACCTCTTTCGGATTCTTTAAGACAAACATTGAGTACGAAATTTTTAAGCTTTGATCCATTTGAATCGCCGTAATCATCAAATCCAAAAACTTTAGGTTTGTTCAATGTAGTTAGATAGCGATCACGATCATGTAGTCGTATCCAAAGCGAAGGAAATGTAATACCATTAAGACCTTCGAGTGCAATTTCATCCAACAATGTCAGATACGATGATGGTGTTAATGAATCCATTATCGGATGGCCAATTGTATTTTATTTCGTAAATGTAAATCATTCAAATAACAATCAAATCAAATCAATTGATTATTTATTATACATGTGGAAATTTATGATTGCAAAGAAAAAAAAGTGATGGCATGCGAGTAAACTCGCGAAATTTCGATTGTTCGACTATATACACTCAAATAGTCACCAAGAAATAGCCGAAATACTTGCAAAAATCGCGAGTACTCGCGCACTTTTTTTTCTGTGATGTAGCAAAAACAAAAAAACAAAATCCTAATTTCGTGGCGCTATCTATCTGCAGAAATTCAATTTAATTTTATATTTTTTATATTCAATGAATTTTTCCCAACAATCAATTTATTTACAAATAAATTTCATAATTTTCAATATAGATTGATGAATTACAAGAAATAATCACAAAAACGAACACGCACATAAATAATAATTATGAAATGAAATAACTATAATATCTTGATTATTGAATAAACTTAAAATGATGAGATATGGAGAAAGAAAAAAACGAATTTTGGTCTGGAATAGAATTGGAATTGCTATAGATTGATTGATTGATTCCATACGATTTACGATGCTTTTGTTGTCAAAACCAATGCAACGATCAAGCCATATAGGCCCAATACTTCGGCAAAAATCAATACCAAAATCATACCAACAAATAGACGTGGTTGTTGTGATGTACCACGTACACCAGCATCACCAACCAGTCCGATAGCATAACCGGCAGCTAATCCAGCAAATCCAACCGATAAACCCGAACCCATATGAAGAAATCCATTAAACAATGAATATCCACCCTCTTTACCGCCTGGTTTAATATTGTTGGCAATCAAAGCCGATACGACTAGACCATAAATAGCAATAATACCGGCCATAACAACCGGAATAATTGATTTCATAATCAAATCAGGACGCATAACGGCCATCGACGAAATACCAATACCAGATTTAGCTGTACCATATGCTGCACCCATCGAGCTGAATATCATTGCCGAAGCACAGCCCATTATGCCGAAAAATGGTCCATAAATTGGTTTCAATGAATCATCGTTCGATGGAGAGGACATTTTCGGTGATTTAACTTGATTTGATATTATACACAGCTATTTGGAAATTAAAGAAAACTAATCTTTCGATGCGAAATCAATATCAAACGAGTTCAGAATCCAAATTGAAATAGATAAATAATGGAAAAAAATAAACACCCTCAACACTCAGCAAAGATGATTTGATGATGAACAACGCTATCGATATTTTTTTCGATACATGAAAAGAATATTTCATACATTTAAATCGAGTTTTCGAGTTTGTAAGATTATGTTAATTCAGTCATTTAGGTACAAGTGTGTCATAATTATTTAAATCATTTCAATATTAATTGTTGAATGTTTTTTGTTTAGATTCCTTCCACCACGATGTTACGGAATCGATTACTGGACAACATTCATCAATGTCAACGATTAAAGTCATTATCATTGTCGACGGCTGCCGAAATTCCGAAAGAATTTATCAAAACAGTAAAATTTCGTACTTGTATCAATGTTTATGATGAATTAAGATTGCGATTACCTCAATTTTATAGAAAATCGCCAACTGAAGGTGTTGATCTTACAATTGATTATGTTGATACTCAATCAAATCAAAAACCGAAAAAAACAATTGTAGCTCTTCATGGTTTGGCCGATTCTTATCGAACATTCACTCCATTAATTCGCCATTTTCAAAATCGACCAGATGTACGGATTGTTGTGCCAAATTTTCCCGATTTTAGTCATACACGTGCAACTAATTATTCATTTTGGCATTCAAGTGATGAAAAATATCAATTACTACAGGATTTATTTCGTATTTTAAATATTAACATTATTGATTGTCTGGTTTCCCATTCGTTTGGAAGTCAACCAACTTCGGCGTTGTTGCAAAAACCGCAAGATTTACAAATCAGATCATTGGCAATGATTGCACCACAATTTTTATTATATAATTTAAGTGATAATACATATAAGATATCAAAATTGATGCTACTTATGTCAAGATCAGAGCTTTTATCTCGCCTGTTACACAGAATGAAAATTCATCAATCTAAACACGTACCGTTCAAGTTTACCAATATCGATGAATATTTTCATTTATCTACTCTCGTTTTGGATCGACAAGCATTCAAGGATTCACGGGCAAGAGTTCAATCAATTAATGCAATGAAATTACCCGGTTTCATCATGTATTCATCTGATGAAAAAATAATATCCAAGCTTGCACAACAAGAATTATATAAATTGCTCAACATAAATGATGATCAAGCGATTCATATAGATCGAGATGATCCCGAAATATTTGCTTCCAATTTTTCGTTTAATAATTCAATGAAAAAAATCATTATAAAAGATGGACGCCATTTACCGCATCAAAAATGTCCTAATATTGTGAATTTTTTGATTGAAAAACTTATCAATGAATGTTGACGAATAAATACATTTTGTTTTTAATAAAAAATTTAATTTTCGATTCTTATATGGTTCTATCAATGCACAAAAGATGGCGATTTATTCCGCCTTATTGTATTTGCAAACATTCGTACCTAAATTTTAAAAGATCAACATATGGTTGGTTTCTGGCTGTTCGATCTTTTTCAAGTTCATCATAATAATTTTAAATTTTCCATCCTCATAATGTTACGGAATCGATTACTGGACAACATTCATCAATGTCAACGATTAAAGTCATTATCATTGTCGACGGCTGCCGAAATTCCGAAAGAATTTATCAAAACGATAAAATTTCGTACTTGTATCAATGTTTATGATGAATTAAGATTACGATTACCTAGATTTTATGGAAAATCACCATCTGAAGGTGTTGATATTAGAATTGATTATGTTGATACTCAATCAAATCAAAAACCGAAGAAAACAATTGTAGCTCTGCATGGTACGGCCGATACTTATAGAACATTCACTTCATTGATTCGTCATTTTCAACATCGGTCTGATGTACGAATTGTCGTGCCAAATTTTCCCGATTTCAGCCATACACGTGCAACTAATTATTCATTTTGGCATTCAAGTGATGAAAAATATGACTTACTACAAGATTTATTTCGTATTTTAAACATTGACAAGATTGATTGTATTGTTGGCCATTCATATGGTAATCATTCAAGCATAGTGTTGTTAGAGAAACCACAAGGTTTACGAATCAAATCAATAGCAATGATTGCACCACAATTTTTATTAGGTAATTTAGGTGATAATTTATATAAGATGACAAAATTGATATTGCCATTATCAAAATCTGAACGTTTGTCTCGTCTGTTAAACTGGATGAAAATTCATCAATCTAAAAGCATACCGTTTAAATTTACCGATATTGATGAACTTTTCCATTTATTAACTATTATTCTGGATGAACAAGCAATTAAAAGTTCGCCGGCAAAAATTCGATTATTGAATAAAATGAAAATACCTGGTTTTACTATATATTCTTCAGATGAAAGAATAATAGCCAAAAGTGCACAGCAACAATTATACAAATTACTTAACATAAATGATGATCAAGCAATTCTTATCGATCGAGATGAACCCACAATAATTACTGCTAATTTTTCACAGGATGCCAATAATACAATCAAGAAAATCATAGTCAAAGATGGACGTCATTTTCCACACCACAAATATTCAAATGTTACAAATTTTTTGATTGAAAAACTAATCAATGAATGTTGACAAATTAAATATTTAGTAGATATTTTACAAAATCTATATTAGGATATGGTTCTATCAATTGCCAAAAGATGGTTGATCCTGCGTCATTATTTGTATTTGGTGACACACATGTACTTGAATTTAAACAAAAAAATATTAATCAGCTGGATTTCTGGTTAAAAATGTTTCTCCGAATTTATGGAAAAAAATTAACACTTTTAACCTGTATACGTTATTATTCATCATCTAAATTACAGGATATTCCATCCGAATTCATTAAAACTATTACATACAGAACCTGTGTCGGTCTTTATGATCAATTACGTCAAGAGCAGCCAAAATTATTTCGTAAATCACCATCCGAAGGATTGGATATAACCATTGAATATGTGGATAATTGGCAACCAAATCATCGATATGACAAAGTAATTTTAGCCATACATGGAACAGCCGATACTTATCGAACATTCACCAAACTTATTCAACATTTTCATCAAAAAAACGTTCGCGTCATCGTTCCAAATCAACCAAATTATGGATATACACGTCGAACAAATTTTCAATATTGGCATACATTCGATGAAAAATATTATTGTTTTAAGGATTTTTTAAAACAATTGAAAATCGATCAAATAGATTGTCTAATTGGCCATTCATTTGGTGTACATACATGCCTGATGCTTTGGGAACGACCACCATGTGGTATTCAAATTCGATCACTTGGTTTTCATGCACCAGAATTTGGCATAAAAGCAATTGAACCGAAATTGATTCGTGGTGCAAAAATCCTATTGAAAATGTCTCAGTCACATTTATTGACAAAATTATTAAAAGCAACGAACTTTCAAATTCCACCATATAAATTTGATAATATTGATGATTTATTTTTAATGTGTTGTTATGCCCAAAATATACCAGATAAAGTTATTCGTGGTTCAATCCGACGATTAGAACGGTTGAAACAACAAAAATGCCTGGATTCATAACGTATGGTACTGATGAACGATTAGTATCAAAATATTCAATTGATAAACTCCATGAATTATTACAAATATCAAATCAGATTATTTCGATTGATACGGATGATTTACTTTCGATACCATCGTCATCAACATCAACGATGATGACATCATTTCAGCTCAAAGATGCTGGACATTTTCCACATGTTCGTTATTCGAATATTTCCCATTATCTTGTTGAACAATTGTTGCGATTGTAGAAATATCCACCGTTATTTTTTAGTTAATTTTATTGAATAAAAATTTGCTCACTGTTGATCATCAATTCCATAGCCAATATTTGGACAATAATAACTGAATAGATAGCTTACGATGCTATTCGAATGAATACCTTTTGGATGATAATCGTTTGGTGCATGAAATTCAATCGGATCACATTGTTGTTTACCAAAATCATATTCATCACGTGGACAGAGGCTATTCAATATACTTAATGAATTATATTCAATCATTGTGTGAAACATTTGTTGTGATTGTCGGCCACATTTAACCATTAACATTTCCATTACACAATGTTCCCAATCATAATATGCACAGCATGTGTTTTGATAAAATTTTGTAAAATTCGCATTTTGTCTCGATTGATCATGGATCCATTCATATGATGTTTGTAATCGATATATACATCGATGCCGATATTCATCTGTCAATTTAACTTTATCGATTAAACATGATGAAATGTTGAGAAAATCTTGAATGATTTCAACTCATATTATTAATTTTTAAAAACAAGAAAAAGAATTATTTTGCTTTTGCTTACCATTTTGAATCGTTCCATTTGGTTGACAGAATCGACGTAAATTCTCTTGAAATGGTTGTAAATATAGACGTTCGAAAAAAATCGAATGTAATGGTGTACCACAACGATGAAACCATTTCCGTGCACAATATGGTCCATAATCATGTTGATTACTTGAGCAAAAAAAAAAAAAAATAATAATAATGATAATAAAAATATTCAAATTCTAGAAAATTCATAATCAAAACTTACAAACAGAATTGTTCAAAATCATCCACATTGCTTGGTATACCAGTACCGTTTGATTGTGCACTTAGAAAAAGGCTCGGTTCGATAAAACATTCGATTAGATGATCTAATTTACAGAATTTGATTCGTCGATTATTAGCCATTGTTATTATAGAAATTTGTTGTTTCGATATTAAATTGAACCATTCAATTATTAATGATAAACATGATATGAATAACAATAGAATCCAGAAAATATTTCGTATGAAAAATAACATGTTTTTTTAATGTTTTAGTTTTAAACGAAAATTATGATAAAATCTAGTGATAATTTTCAAATGGTTAATAATGATAAATTGGACATTTTTTTTTGTTAGTTGATGCTGGATTTTTTTCTGTTGTGCGTGTATGGGGAGGGATGCACACATTGTTAACCAGGAAAAAATCGAATAAAATATACGCCCATATATGAGTAGTGAAGGTCTATCACCTCGTTTCGATTTTTTTTTTTGATGTTCAATCGATCAAATGATTGATCAATGATATTTTGGGTTTTGTCGTTTGTCATGTCTCTGAAAAACAAACACAATAAACAGGTAATTATCTATATCGTATGGAAGTAAGAACAAGAAATAAAAAATAAGGTCATTCTGGTGCAACATATTTCCTTTTTCCGTCATATCTAAATCGATAAATCGATGATCATGATCGTATGATCTCGATGATGATGGCTTTATTTGAATTCGATTGATAATTTGCCTGAAAAAAATGACAGTGTGCCATATATATTGTGAGGTTTTTTTTCTTGTTAGGAATGATTGATTAATCATTCACAATGGTCAATAAAACCAATTCCATAATCATGTTTTTTTATGGTCAAATATGGATGTGTCATACAAATCAATGGGTGGCCGAAATAGACGTCATACAATCTCAATTCGGAATGACCCAACTGAATAAAATGTATACATTCTGTGATAACAATTTAATTGATATATAAGTTCCATGTGTTTCATACAAGTCCAAGGTTAATAACCTTGTTTGATATGGAACAATGATATGAATGAAACATACACACACAAAAAAACACATTGAAACTTCAACATTGTAACCATTGGTAACGGTTATTGGCCATCCAGTTACTTTTTGGTTATTGAAAATAAAAATGAGGCAACAATAAATAAATTCAGTGAAAAATAACATTTCATTTCGAAATCGATATTCGAGATCAGGAAGAATTATCGAATTGAATCCAAAAAAAAAATGAATCATCAAAATGAATCGAATATCAATAAGGAAATATAGAATTCGTTCGATTATCGATAGTGAATCGTCCTTCTCTCCACCTCTTACAACTCGATTCCACAAAAGGTTCTTGACATTTTTCCATTTTCCCATATTTCTGTTTGTGTCGGATTCATTTGATAAAAATTCTCATTCTGTATTAGATTGTATTCGAGACAACATTGTCGTTTTTAAAATCATAAATAAAAATTAAAAATGCTTTGCTGTTTTATTATTGATAAACTAATACGAACCATATTCATCATTTTAATGATTGTATTGATGATATTATGGATTGTATTGTGTATTGAAACAACCAGACAAATTGTTGATGTTCAAAATCGACTTGGATCACGTGGTGCCGGTCGTATTACTAATAATAATGCCGTTGGCAATGGTGATCCAGAAAAACGTTTTCTTACATCATTATATTCACAGCTACAGATTCAAGGATTATCACCATCATCATCATCATCATCTGCATCGATAACACCGATGATCACTCGTTCAATATTACCACGTTTATTTATATTGGCCATATTTAATACGTTTATTGAAGAATTGATTGCATTCATAGCAATCATATCATTAATGTTAACCGGTAAACATTGTTATGATAATGATAATGGCCATCATAGTAGATCACAAAGATCATCATCATCGAACAAATGGTTTCGTACATCAATAACATTATTAACAATCATATGGTTCATTGAACAATATCGTATTGGTGATTTGATCTATTATCATCATAATTTTGATTATCAACAAACAACAACAACAGTTGATCAATGGAATGTACAACATATGATACTTACAGCGCATATAATACATTTTATTATCATTATTATTGGTGGAATGATTTGTCTATGTTGTACAATGAAAACAACAAAAACATTCAAAACTATGACGGCAACAATGAATACAAATAATAATGGCATTAATACTATTCATAATGATCGATTATTATCAACATCATCATCAACAACAACAACAACAACATCATCATCATCGAATGTTATGGATATAGAAGCGAATCGTTTGCAATCAAAACAACATAAACAATTATTAATGAAACAAAAAGAACAACGTAGAAAAAAACAATCGAATAATTTAACATTTAAATCAAATTATTCACAAAATAATGAACAACAAATGGATTCAAATGGATTGCAACCAACAACATCCACAGCGAATGGTAATGTTGTCACAACGAATGGATCGTCAATCAAAATGATTGGTGACAGATTTAAAAAGCCATGTCATTGGATGCGTTCAACATTTATCATTCATAATAATGGTAAAGATGATCGTTTGAAGAATGCTAAAAATAAATCGAAAACAATCAATTCGATTGATAAATCATCATCAAATATTATGGCCATTAATGATCAAAACAATGATAACGATAGTAATAATAATGATGATCATCATATCGATAATGATGTTGTTAATCAAGGAAGAGGAAGTGAATCAAGTACAGCAACTGCAAGTACAACCATTGCAATGGATCGATTGATTGAATGATTAATACCTCTTCTACACTTGCACAAAAATGATCTATAAATGTCGAAATAGTGAATAATAACATTCGAATCGATTATTTTTTCCATACGCACATCCATTCATTTATCCTCATGCGGGATTATTTTTAAAAATTGGAAAATTTCTTTCTTCCAATTGGATCGGGTGGGTTATCATCAATTCTGTTCATTCATTCTTTTTTTCCATGATCTCCTCTAGGACAGAAAAATAATAGTCATAGGTTTGCAAATATTTTAGTCATTTCCATTTTTTTTTATTTTTGATAATTTTTTTTTATACAAAAAAACATTTTTCAAATAAAAATAAAATCTCTTCTTTAACGATGATATTGTTGCAATTTTTTCTGGTTCAATCAATTTGTTACAGCAATAGAAATAGGAATAAAATATTCAGGGAATTACAATAGTTAGATGTAATAAACAAACAGACAAAAATCATCGGTAAAATCGTTTATGAATGCTATTGTCCATCAACGCGAAAGTTCCGTTATGGGAATTGAACAAAAAAGATGAAAAAAAAGTTTCCAAGCAATTTTTTTTCTCGTTTATAAACATTCGATTTTTTTTTCGTTCGTTGTCCATTTCCATTTCTCATAGACTTGACAAAAATTATGGCCAGTGGTAAAAAAATGATTGTGGAATAAGATAAACATTGTATTCCATTGTTGTTGATGATGAACAAAGTTGGTTGTTGTGTATTGTGCACACTCATTGGTGATGTCATTGTCATTGGATCCGATGATTGATCACTGATGAATCTTTTTTTTCAGTGATAATGTTGTTGTTGTTGTTGTTGATGATGATGACAATGTCCATAGAATGAATGAAAACGAAAATTATTTGCTTCGCATATAATGCTTTCAAAGCCAGTCACCCATACTTTATTTTTTCATTGTTTGATTGATATTCTTGAATGAATAAGAAAATAATATAAGAATAGATCGCATTAGATGATGATGATGATGATGGTGATATTATCGTTGGGTCATTCGATTTCCAAAGAGTTACAGTTCCATTTTAAAAGAACGGTTGTACAAACAAACATCGACAACAACAACGAGAAACTTAATATTTTCATTCAGGAAATAGAAAACTATTCATTTCGTCGTCGTCGTCGTTGTTTGATGTTCTAATTTCCAAACAATTTTCACAATTTGCCTCTGTGTGTGTATATGTGTGTGGGTGGGTGAATAGTTTTTGTGTTTGAGCATAATACAAGTACAGAAATTTTTTAATTGTGCGAAAAGTGTGGTAGATCAAAAAAAAAAAAAAAAATTCTCTCTTCAAACAAACAATTAATTATTTTTCAAATTGGGCGTTGTGTCTGCATGTAGGCGGTGTGTGTATTTGTTATTCGATATTTTCTCTTATAATATAATTACGGTCATATATTATATATAGTCATCGGGAAGAATATACACTGGACATATATACACACACACACAAACAAAAACGATCCAGAAACAAAAAATAACAAAAAAAAATTCATTCAATCAATGAATTGATTATTCAAAATTCATCGGTCTTAAGACACTAGAATATGTATGTGATGAGATTACGACGACAATGATGATGATGATGATGATGAACGAATCGATTTCGATTGTATTCGAAATTGAATTGATTCTAATAAACAAAAAAAAATATTTGCATATACAAGAAAAAAAATAAGAAATTCGAATGCAAATAAAAATATAAACCAACTACAAATGCTACCGCCATCATTATCATCATTATTACTAAATAATTCAATCATACACACACCCCCATGTGTTGTTTACATTCAAATGAATCAAAATAAGCAGAAAAAAAAATTTCGGCAACATTAAAATATCTACATAAAGAGATGTGATTGGCAAGTATATTCTTGTTCCATTTGATGGAAAAGAAAATAAAAATCAATAGAGAGAGAGAGAAAAAAAACAATGATTCGATCGATTTTTGCTTCGTTTTATTTTGTTTCATTCGAAACTCTTGATTGATTCTATTAGTTATTTGAAATATATGATTTTGGCAAGTATAATCATTCATTTAAAATAACAGGTCCACTTCCAAAATCAAGAGTCCTGTTTCATAGATATTCCAAGATCTATTGTTTTAAATTTAATTATGAATTATCCATTTTATTATTATACAAATATTCTCATGGTGTGAAAAATGGTTGGTTCATTCAATGACCATATCAGATGAACTGTTTGTTTGTTTGTTTGTTGTATAGTCAATTTTAGAAAAAAAAAAATTTTTCAACATACAAAGAATACTGGATCAAACAAAAATGTATTGTTGATTTATTCACAACATCTGATTGACTACTA